AGAACAAAATGATCGTGTTTACTTGCCAAAGAGGTCAGCTGAAAATGTGCACCTTCAGTTGGCCATCAGAACTCAAGCGTCGGGCATGGTGATGGTGTTGGTCAGCCATAACAGCCGATGGCCGGTTGTCTTCGCTCGTATTAATCGACCCTTTTATCATATTAATCGACCGTTTCATCAGAATAAATGCCGAATATTATAGCGTAAATATTCTGAAGGGTGTATTAAAGGCTTGGGCACGCAAAAATTTTGGCCGCAGACCTTGGACATTCCAACCGGACTCTGCAGCTTCGCACTCAGCACGCGCCACCCAAGAATGGTTACAAAATGAGGTTCCCCGAGGTTCACCAAAAACTCCGTTTACCAATCCGTTGGACTATTTTTGTGTCTGAAATATTTTGGAAAGCAAGGTTGGCACTAAAAAATACCAAAGTGTCGATCACCTCAAGCAAGCGCTTCGCCGGGAATGGGCTAAAATACCGCAGAGCAACATTCGAGCAGCGTGTAACGGTTTCATTGACCGTTTGATGGCCATAATTCGTGGCAACGGTGATCAATTCGAACAAATCTAAAATTATTCTCAAATTTGATGCCTATTCCGACATTTTTTGCTTTCATTTCAATTTAAATTTAAAATTTAAAAAAAAATCTAAAAATTATGGCCATTGACTTTGTTGCAGTTTTTTTATCTTACCCTGCATTGCTATGGGAATATTCCTTCAATACAAATGAATGAGACATCTTTTCAATGGGGAAATATCTTTTCGCCGTCAAAAATCAAAATTCCACGCCAGGCGGAATAAACATTGCCAGCCAGCAATATTTTGTTATTGAGACCACTCACCACTCAGGCAGTTGCCTTGTAAATTCTAAATGTTATCAGCAGAGCACCCTCCTCCCTTTAGATAAGATTAGACTACACAATTTTAAATTACTGAGTAATTATCGGTAAGCCGGTTAAGGTCACCACCAGAAATATTTGACGAATGTGTTTTTTATGAATGTCATTACACCCATCCATGACTTGTGATTACACGACAAATACCAAACATAGGTTAGGTATGCGATTCAATATTTGTTTTGATTATTTAATTCGAAATACTAATGCAAATGCCAATAAAAATATTGAATAACCCTGCTACCACACCGCCAATTGAAAGAAAAAACGAGGTAAACAAACCATATTAGGATGATGGGATGGATGGATGGTCGGTGTTAGTGGTGTGTGTTCATTTATTTAATATTAGAAAAAATCAAAGGCATTAGCTCTGCAATTGGTGGAGGGTAGTTATGGAACGATTTGAAATACATATCCCATTGCAAATGTACGTGAGGTACATGTCGTGGAGGGCCGATTTCTTTTCTCTGTGTCATAAAAGATGTCGGAGCTTTTTTTTTATAGAAATTTATTTTAAACCCCATCAGATTTTACTGCCAGATTCAATGTTATCTGAGATATAAAAATAAAAACCTCTACCCTTCTGCTGTTTTATCAGACGTATAAATTTGTCATGCGATTCTGTCTCGCTCGCTCTCTCTCTAGACTTGGCACACAATGAATCATCAAAAAAAGTTTTATGCCAAGGTTTGTTCAAACAACAACAATAGATATGATATGATACGGAGTCTTCCTTATTATTAGCTTGTGGGTAAATAGCAGGTTGTAAATGATAGCAACATAAGTGAGGAATATCAAATCATAAATACTACTTTTTAAACCCTCAGTCATATGGCTAGAAAGGGTATACAGGGTGAGACAAAAAAAATTTACAACAAAGTCAAACGAAATAATTTTTACATTTTTTTTTTTTAAATTTTATTGAAAGCAAGCCAAAAATGTCGGAAATAGCATCAAATTTTAAAATAAGTTTAGATTTGTTCGAATTGATCACCTTTGGCACGAATTATGGCCTTCAAACGGCCAATGAAACCGTCACACACGGCCCAAATGTTGCTCTGCGGTATTTTGGCCCATTCCCGGCGAAGCGCTTGCTTGAGGTGATCGACACTTTGGTATTTTTTAGTGTCAACCTTGCTTTACAAAATACTCCAAACACAATTGCCCAACGGATTGGTATCAGGAGATATTGCTGGCCATTGTGCTAAAATGGAGCGAGAAACCTCATTTTGTAACCATTCTTGGGTGGCGCGTGCGATGGTGCTGAGTCCTGTTGGAATGTCCAAGGTCTGCGGCAAAAATATTTGCGTGCCCAAGGTACGCACCCTACAGAATATTTTCGCGATTATATTTGGCATTTATTCTGATGCCACGGTCGATTAATACGAGCGGAGAGCGACCATCGGTTGTTATGGCGGCCCCCACCATCACCATGGCCGGCGCTTGAGTTCTGGTGGCCAATCGAAGGTGCACATTTTCAGCTGACCTCTTTGGCACGTAAACGCGTTCATTTTATTTGTTTACAAACTGTGGGAGAACGAATGTTTTCTCATCGGTGATAGAAGGAAACCAAAATTCGGCAGTTCACCACTTTCGTTCGGCCAAGCGAAGCATCTCTTCAGCTCTATTGAGTCTATTTTCTTTCTGTTCTGTTGCGGTGTAAGTTCTTGCACTTTTTGGAATTTCAATGGCTTTATCCCGAGCTCATTTTTCAATATTTGCCGAATGAAATATTGCGATATGTTCAGCTAACGAGCCCGATCAAGTCGCTTCTTTACCATTTTCGAACCATTTCTGCTGATGTTGTTGCTTTCTTCCGTCCACTTCCTTGACGTCGGGCTACGCTAACAGTATCACGGTAACGAGCGAGTCATGTTTAAATGCTGGAGTGTTTCAACGATAGCCACTTGTGGGTTTTCAGCCAAATTTAAAGAAATCACAATCAATCATCAGCTGTCGGATGAGTGGCTTTGATATGATAGTACCTCACCGACAAAGGGTCAAATTTTAGAATAATTTTAACTCTTATAAAATGTAATGTAAGAGTCCGTCTGTCTTCAAATTACACACACCGATATATTCCATCGTCTGGTGCGAAGATGGAATATATCGGTGCTCTCTTTCTGGTATCTCCCCCACAAAACGGTCAAAATTTCGAATGACCAAAACGATTATAAAATCAGGACAACAAAATAAGCATCCTATTCTCTTCATATTTACACATTCAATTATTTCTTCTAAAACTAGATCTGGTGTGAAGATGGGATATATCGGACCACTCCTTCTGGTAACTCCTCCACAAAGGGTCACAATTTTGAATATCAATGAAGCTCATAAAACGCGAAATTAATATCCGATTCCATTCAGACTTGGCACATCTCAATATGTCTATCAACGCAAGATCTGTTATAAAGATGGTAGAGATCGGAACATTTCTTCTGATACCTCCCCCACAAAAAAGTCAAAGTTTTGAAACCAAAACGATTAAAAATCCGAAATAAGCATCCGATGCTCTTTAAATTACACACATCACAATATTTTCATTAATTCAAGGTCTGATGTGAAGATGGGATATATTAGTCCACTCCTTCTGGTACCTCCCCCACAAAGGGTCAAAATTTTGAATATCAATGAAGCTCATAAAACCCGAAATTAATATCCGATTCCATTCAGAATTTGTATATCTCAATATTTCTATCAACACAAGATCTGTTACAATAATGGTAGACATCGATCCAATTCTTCTGGTACCTCCCCCACAAAAGGGTCAAAATTTTAAATAACCAAAACGATTATAAAATCCGAAATAATCATCCGGTTCTCTTCAAATTGCACACATCACAATATTTTTATTAACCTAGGGTCTGGTGTGAAGATGGACGATATCAGTCCACTCCTTCTGGTACCTACCCCACAAGGGGTCAAAATTTTGAATATCCATGAAGCTCACAAAAAGAGAAATTAACATCCGATTTCATCCAGACTTGACACATCTCAATATTTCCATTTACGCAAGATCTGTTTTAAAGATGGTAGAGATCGGACGATTCCTTCTGGTACCTCCCCCACAAAGGGTCAAAATTTTGAATAACCAAATCGATTATAAAAGCCAAAATAAGCATCCGATTCTCTTCATATTTCACACATCCCATTATTTCTACTAACACAAGATCAGCTGTGAAGATGGACAATATCCCACACAGAGTGTCAACATGAACATGAAGCTCGTAAAACGCGAAATTGATATCCGATTGCATTCGGACTTGGCATATCTCAATATTTTCATCAACTCAAGTCCTGTAACAAAGGTGATAGAGATCGGAACATTCCTTCTGGTACCTTCCCCACAAAGGGTAAAAATTATGAATATCCATGAAGCTCATAAAACGCGCAACTAAAATCCCATTCTACTTAGACTTAGCACATCTCAATATTTCCCTCCGCAGAATATCTGTTATAAAGATGATAGAGATCGGAACATTCCTTCTGGTACCTCCCCCACAAAAGGGTAAAATTTTTGAATAACGATAAAGCTCACAGAACACGAAATGAGCATCTGATTATTTTCAAACTTGGCATATCCTAGTATTTCGGCCAGCACAAGACCTGGCGAGTAGATGAAACATAACGGTTCTTCTTCTTGTATCTCTTTCACAAAAGGGTCAAAAATTTCCCTTCAAATTTCGCACATCTCAATAAAATTTCAATTCATCCTGATAAAATTTCGAACTTAGAATTCTTCAATTGAAAAAAATCACATCAGATCTGGGATAGAACAAGCCAACTTTTTATGATTTACGATATATTTTCCATTTAACGTTGCCGAACAAAAATTTCCCACAGAAAATGTTCTACTCTATACCCTGTTTTAACGACATTCTAAAGCACCTTCATTTTATTTATTATTATTCTTTTATTTGTGCAATCAATTAACACCTTGTATATTTATTAATCAATTTATCTATTTGTTAATTTTGAAAACCACACAGCTACCTATCCCATCCTGATTATTAATTTGTTCACATTATAGTGTTAGCTTCAGAAACTTATTTGTCTTTTAGAGTTGCTCTAATTGAATCTTGTTATGGTTTTTCCATTTTAGATTGCCATGGCCACCTCACCCCGTTCTGCCGATACAATATCGCTTTGTTCCACAGTATCGAGTTGTCCGGATCGCAATGGTTTCTATGGTGGATTTCAACGCACAGACAAGCCCAAAGAGCCCCTATCGAAAGCACAAATTATAGCACGCGAAAAGAAATGGCTCTACATGTTGGACAACTGGTCGCTGTATATGTCGAAAAACTACAAAAAAGTATGTGTCCCAATATATATATATTGTGTTTCTATTTCTGCTGCTTCTCATATTGCCCACTTTTCCACCCTTTTTCAGATAAGAGATCGCTGTCGCAAAGGCATACCCAAATCGATACGACCCCGTGCCTGGTTCTTTTTATCCGGTGCCTATTTACTGAAAAAGAAACATCCCAATTTATATGCGGAACTTTTGGAAAAGCCCGGCAATCCTCATGTCATCGAAGAAATCAAAAAGGATAAACATCGACAATTTCCATTTCATGAAATGTTCTTGGACGAGGACAAAGTCGGACAAATCGAATTGTTCAATGTGCTGAAGGCCTATTCCATATATAATCCAAAAGTTGGTTTCTGTCAAGCCCAGGCGCCGATTGCAGCTTTCCTCCTTATGCACTTGCCGGCGGAAGATGCATTTTGGGTCTTTGTTAGCGTATGTGATGTGTAAGTGTATTTTGCAAAAAATCATGCTTCGCGAAAACAGAAACTGTGAAAGATCTACACACCACCAACCCTTAAGAGGTATTCTAATTGTGGAAAAGCCTTTAAGAGATCTTTGAAATGATGTCTTCTACCTGGGAGGAAGTCTAGTGTAACTTTCAGAGATCCGAAGACGTAGATTTCTTAATTTTGTTATCTAAGCTACCTCAAGGCCTTAGACGTGAATTTTTTTAGAACCCCTCAAGACCTGAGTGTGTCTGTTGGAAAATTAAAAGGGTTATCTAGAAGATATTTAAAAGGATCATACACTTAAAATCTGTTAGAGATTGTCTTTCAGGGGTTGAAAACAGTTTTCGTTACGAAACGTTTATTCGGCAGGTATAGAAAGAAAATCTTCATTCAATGGGCCATTGAGACTACCTGAATGAGATTCTATCTGCATGTATGACCCGCAAAATGTTTTCTATTTACAGAAAATCTGTAGGAGGCTTTCTATATAGAGATGAAGCACCAAAACCTATTCAATCTTCAGCAAAAGCTCTTAGAAGTCTTGGAAGTCTAGAGTGACTTTCAGAGATCCAAAGGTGCAGATTTGTTAATTTTGTTTTCTAGGCTACCTCAAGGCCCTGGACGTAGATTTTTTAGACGCCTTCAAGGTCTGAAGGCGTGAACTTTTTAAATATATATTTGTTCAAGACTTCCTCAAGGCCTAAAGGTGTAGATTTGTTAAAAAATTTTTTTTTTCAAGGCTTCCCATGGGGTGGATTTTTTAGACTCCCTTAAGGCCTGAAGGTGTGAACTTTTTAAACATTTCTTCTAGACTTCCTCAAGCTCTAAATGTGTAGATTTGTTAAAAAGACTTTTTGCAAGGCTTCCCAAGGCCTGGATTTTTAGACTCCCTCAAGGTCTAAAGGCATGAAATAGTTAAATATTTTTTCTAGACTTTCTCAATGTCTGAAGGCGTAGATTTGTTAAAAAGATTTTTTTCAAGGCTTCCCAATGCGTGGATTTTTTAGACTCCCTCAAGGCCCGAAGGCATGAACTTTTTTACTTTTTAACCATTTTTTCGAGACTTCCTCAAGGTCTGAAGGCGTAGATTTGTTAAAAAGATTTATTTTCGAGGCTTCCCAGGGCGTGGATTTTAAAACACCCTCAAGACCTGAAGGCGTGAACTTTTTAAATATTTCGTCTAGACTTCATCAAGGTCTGAAGACTTCCTTAGGTGATTTTTTAGACTCCCCCAAAGCCTAAAGGCGTGAACTTTGTAAATATTTTTTTTAGACTTGCTCAAGGTCTGAAGACGTAGATTTGTTAAAAATATTTTTTTTCAAGGCTTCCGAAGGCGTGGGTTTTTTAGACGACTTCAAAACCTGAAAACGTGAAGGCGTGAACTTTTTAAATACTTTTTTCTAGACTTCCTCAAGGTGTGAAGGCGTAGATTTGTTAAAAAGATTTTTTTGAATGCTTCCCATGGCGTGGATTTTTTACACTCCCTTCGGAATTCCGCCCACATAACAGCAACGTTCAATTTGTTGAATTTTGAAGACTTTCTCTTCACATTTTTTAGTCCAGATACGTTTATTTATAAATGTTTTTTTATACCCTCCACCTCCCTATATTCCGTATTTTGACGATTTTAAGTACAATATTCACCGAAATTGTTGAAAATGTCGTATTTGAAGTTCTAATAGGTACTACAGCCTGTGACAGAAAATTGTCTATGTAGGTTCAGGTCTTCGTATAGCCTCTATATATCAGTGCCTTCCTATATTCGGATTCAGATTAGGATTTGATGATTTTATCGACATTATTCACAGGAGTTGTTTCAATTTTCGTATTTAGAGTTCGTAATGGGAAGTACAGTCTATGCCAGAAAAATGTCTATACAGGTCCTGGTATAAGCCCCATATATCAGTACCTATCTATATTCGGTATTTTGATGATTTTAGCGACATTATTCTCCAGAGTTCTTTAAAGTTTCGTATTTAGAGTTCGTAATGGGAAGTACAGTCTATGCCAGAAAATTGTCTATGCAGGTCTTCGTATATGCCCCATATATCAGTACCTCCCTTTATTCGATATTTTGATGATTTTAGCGACATCATTAACCCGAATTGTTTCAAATTTCGTATTCTAAGTTTGTAATGGGTACTACAGCTTGCGACAGAAAATTGTCTATGCGGGTCCAGGTCTTCGTATAGTCCCGATATAATGGTACCTCCCTATATTCGGTATTTTTATGATTCTAGCTACATTATTCACCGATTTTTTTTTCAAGTTTCTTATTTGAATATTGTAATAGCTTATGACAAGTGTTGCTTGTGCAGTTTCATGTCTTCGTATATGCCCCAATATAACAGCTATATTCGTTATTTTTAAGATTTTAATAGAATTTTTAACGGATTTTATTTATTTTTTTTTAATTTCCAAATTATTTTCAAATGATGGAGGGTATTCAAAGTTCGACCGGGATGAACTTACTGCTTTTTTACTTGTTTCTTAATCTCATAGTGGGGTTAATTGAAATTTGGGCCCGGCCGAACTTTCGTTTTTTACTTCTCCTCAAATTACCTTTCTCACAAAATGTTAATTTGTTTCCCTTTTTTCTCCCCCTATTTGCAGATATTTAGAAGATTACTTTATTACCGGTCTGGAAGTTCTGCAAAATGATGCCGGCATTTTGGAGGGCCTTCTAAAGAAAACCTGTCCGCCCGTCTATCGTCATCTGCAAAAGCATCGCGTTGAACCTTTGCTGTACATGACCGATTGGTTTCTGTGTGCCATGACGAGAACTTTGCCCTGGGAAACGTTGCTGCGCGTTTGGGATTGTTTTCTAGCCGAAGGGATACGTGTCATATTCAAAGTGGCCCTAGTGATATTAGGTGCTTCCCTCAATAGCCATAAGGTGCGCAAGCAATGTAATGGTTTGTGTGAAACGCTTGAGGTGCTACGAAGTCCGCCCGACAATGTGCTCGATGAAGATTTCATAATTAATCATATGCAACGTTTAAATTTACGCGTTGAAGATTTTCAAATTGAACATACGCGACAGAAGGCACGACGGGCCAAACAGAAAGCTTTGCAAGAGGCCCAAGCAGCAGCGGCAGCGCCCAGGGCGGCAACATCGTCTTCCACAGGAGCAGTAGCAAGTTATGTGCCGGTTGCCAGTACAACACCGACCACCACAATGACCCGAAGTGCTTCGAATAGCCAAAATAATACCTTTAGCCGACCCAGTCGTACCACTAGTCCAACAAATATAACCAGTGGCAGTGTTACTGTGGTGAATATTGGCGGCAGCGATGATAATAGTATTAGCAGTAGTACAGCAACAGCTGGAGCGACGGCGGCAATGGCATATGAATACAGCAATGGTGGTGTTGCCACCAGCAGCAATGGTGCCGGAGCAATGGGAGGGGGTGCCCATGTTATTGTAGCAACTACAACTACAAGCACAACAACAAAATTTGATGGAGTTTATGGAGCTAATGGCAATACGAACAGTAATGGCAATGGTAGTGTTAGTGTCACAACTAACAGCTATCATACATAATTTTAATGTGAAAATTGAGGAAAATGAAAACGACAACAAAAACAAAAAACGCTGAGCGTTTAAAAACACCCTACACACAAACAAGTGAAACCTATTTTCTTTTTCTAAGCAGAGTTTATACACAATTTCCTCCCTAAATTATTTATGGCTTTTTCCAAGTTTTATTTCCGTAAACGAACACTCAAAGAACCCTATTTCAATATTAGCTATTTGTAATTTTGTAATACTATTTTTGAAAAAATATTCAATGCTTGTATACACCGTACATACATTCTATGAACTATGAAATTGCCAAGGGAACAGAAGGAAAATTGTTATATAAATATTTTTTTTTTGAAATATTAAGGTACTGTTTCTCTATGGCGATGCGAAAGGGAACTCGAGAGAAAAACTCTAATTCCACTGGGTCTCAAATCTTTTTTAAAGGTGGAAAATTAAAAAAAATTAAACTTTTGGATTTCAAATAACAATTATATTTTTTTAACAGCAAACTTAGATGAGGGCACATAAGCAGCTTGGAATCATGGCTAGGCATATTGACATTAATATGTCAAATTATAAAGGGAAACGACGGCAAAATTCAAATACGGCTCTGGCATCCCTTTATATGTCACAAAATATGCCATGCGAAGACTTAAAGATGTTTATGAATTGAAGGTGAGAACACATAAAACGCTTCTTTGACTGACTTAAGTCTTCGGCTGGCTTCTAGAGAAAAGAACAAGGGAGCGTAAGGCCCCTTGAACTAAGTCAACCTAAGACTTCTTTGTTCCTCTACGAAGAAGCCAGCCAATGACTTAAGCCAGTCAAAAAAGCGTTTTTTGTATTGTCACCTTTACATCTATAAGGTGCAGCTGCACAAAGTGTTTTTTTACTAGCTGAATTCATCGGCTGGCCTCTTCATAAAAGGACAAAGAATCATGGGCCAAATAATTATAAATTATGGGCCGAAATTGAGCTATGACAACATAAAACTCCTCCCTTCGAAGAAGCCAACCTATGACGGAAGCCAGTGATAAACTTGTTCTATGTACTCTCTCCTTTAATTGTAAGATGGGCTTACTGCCCAACCTTGAGGTTTTTATACTACCATAGAAGACCTTGAGGTCTTCTAGACGTCATATAATACCTTGAGGTCTTCCACATGCCTTAGAAGATCTTAAGGTCTACCATAGAAGATCCTAAGGTCTTTTATACTACCATAGAAGATTCTAAGGTCTTCTATATACTATACGTCTAGACGCCTTTGTTGACCTTCAGGTCTTCTAGACGCCTTGGAAGACCCTCAGTTCTTCTAGACGCCTTGGAAGACCTTGAGGTCTTCTATACGCCATAGAAGACCTGAAGGTCTTCTATTGTCTATAGAATACCTTGAGATCTTCTATTGTCTGTAGAGGACCTTGAGGTCTTCTCGACGCCATAGAAGACCTGGAGATCTTCTATATGCCATAGAAGACCTGGAGGTCTTCTATTCACCATAGAAGACCTTGAGGTCTTCCATATGCCATAGATGTCCTTGAGGTTTATATACCATAGAAGATTTTAAGGTCTTATATATACTACAGAAGACCCTAAGGTCTTCTATATGCCACAAAAGGACCTTGAGGACTTCTATTCACCATAGAAGACCTTGAGGTCTTCTTTTCACCAATTTCTATATAAGGCCGGCCTGTAAGCCCATCTGAGAAACTAAATTTGCTTTCAAAAAATATAATTGTGATTTGAAATTCAGTGTCGGTCAAATCACAATATTCTAAAAACAACTAATTATACCCTACAACACAAGGTGGTCAGCGTATTGTCTTGTGCATTTGTTTGTAACAGGCAAAAGGAAACGAGACAGACCCATAGTTTCTTTTGAGGATCTTCAAAGAATCACTTTGTGAACAAAGTACAGGTCGCATTTATTGCCCGATCCGGGTGATATTTTGCAGAAGTAATTTTTTTGAGCCAAGGACGAACCTCTTTGAAATTGGAGATAATCTCTTAAAATTTAGATATAGCAAATTGAAAGGCACAAATGCCCCGGCAAATTTTGTAGAAATCGATTCATAAGAGGATATTCCTCTTATATATTAGTTCCTTTGGACTTTCTTTATTATTAATTTTTTGTCGAAAGTAGTCTTCTTGGCCGACCTTTTGTAAGCCTTGGGCCGACATCAAATCATGTATTAAAAAAAAAAACTAGAAGGAATGGAAGTTTTTCATTCGAGTTCAGTTTGGCATCATCGCCTTAAAATTTCTCAAAAGAAATCTGGACACAAATATCGAGGAATGGGTCCTCTTAACTTTGTTCCAAATTTTTTTTTTTTTTTTTTTTTCAAGAAAAAATTTTAGTTTCTGGCCTTTTTTTGGCCCTTCCGTTTTACTTCTCTTTTGGCAATAACGTTCACCTTGTCACGACAAATCACGGCATGTTACAATAACTCCATATAATTTTGTTTATTAATTAAAAAAAAACCATCCCTCCTCCCCAAGTTGAACTCCCTCCAAGTGTTTGAAATGCGAAATACAATAACGAGAAAATGAGAACTACATTTTTTTGTGTTCTTCACACACAATGGGAAAAGAAAAGAAACGAAAAGAAAATATACATACTTATACATACATATACATAACTATATATGCAATCAGCACACAGATTTTTATTATTATTATAATTATAATTATACTTATTACGATAATTCTTAGTATAGTCTATGCAATAATAAATTATTAATCTTGTATATAAATATATAATAAATCGAATAAATTTTAACAGCAATATGTATTAAAAACCAACAACAAAAACACCATGCAAACAAGTGCAAATAACATCAAATGTATTAAAATTATAAAATATATATACACACATATATATTACAAATTACTATTACTAAAATGTTTATTTTATTTTTTTCTTCTTCTTTATTGTCTCAATCAATTTATTTAATTATTATTTATATATTGCTTATTATAATTATTATTAAGTTTTGTTTTGTTATAATTTATTACACGAATATACATACATGCATACACACATATACATATTTATATCCTAATGAAGAAATTACAACAAACAGTGAAATATAATTTCTTTTATGGCTAACGTGTAGTACCCAAGAATTTCTTGTTAGAGAACACCCACTAACCTATCCTAAAAAATTAAAAGAGTTTCGCTATCTGTAAGCGAGGATCATGTATAAGAATTGTGGTTGGGATTCAAGACTTATTTATAAGGTCGTCCAGGAGGGGAATTCAGACCTTGGTCATATCTTGTTGTCAAACGGTATTTCTTGAAGAATCAATCGGAGGAAACACGCACAAATAATTGGTTAAAAATAAATTTTAACTTAAGCGTTATACATGGGATATTTATACCCTACAACACTATGTGTTGGAGGTATTATAAGTTTGATTTTGCCAAAAATTATGTAACGCCTCGAAATATTGGTTTCCCACATAGGAAAGTATATATGGATCTTTCTATCTCGCCGAGCTGAGTCGATGTAGCTATATATATATGTCAGTCCGTCCGTCTGTCCATGTTAATTTGTAATCACTATGGCCCGATCTTCACGAAATTTAGAATGGAGGTGGGCTAGGGCCAGAATAGAAGCCTATCTCTTTTGGGGATGATCGCATAATATTTGGGGGTTGAAATGGACCAAAAACGGAAAAATTTCCTGATTTTACAGTTGCTCTACAGGTCACAATTATAGAGCAATCGACGCGGAAATTAGCATGGAGCTAGAGCTTACGGCCGGACAGAAACCTTCCAATTTTGATCGTCATCAAGTAATATTTAGTGGGTGAAATAGACCATAACATTTGTGTTATACAACAGTCAAATTTTCCATTAAACCGCGAATACTTTTAATACCGGCGAAATCACAAATAGACGAAAAGGTCAATTCTGGCCGTTATGTAGATGTCGAGAGTAAATATATCGGATATATATAGCGAAATATTTACGATGTGTATATAATATCTGGTGTAATATCTGGGCAGTGCTTCGTGACATAATTTCAAAAGCGAAATCTTCCAAAATGGATTTGGACATAAAGGGGCTTTTAAAATATTGTTGTGCTGTAGGGTGTCACATGGTCGGCCCGCACTACTATACCTTTGTTTTGATATATAAATGAAATAAAACAAGTAAAAAAGAATCAGTCGGTTTTTTCCGACAGATGTATACCCCAGCCTTGAGTTATGATTATTCAAACTGTTTACCCTTTATGGGGGAGTTTCCGAAGCAATTGGCCAATATTGAGCAATTCGTATCTGACTAAAAACTGATATAAATATTACAACGTGCCAGATTTGGACTATATCGACTACTTCCTATGCTATCGGATGTTAATTTCGTGTTTTATGAGCTTCATGAATATTAAACATTTTTTAACCGTTGTAGGGGAGGTACCAAAAGAAGTAGACCGATATATTCCAGACCTTGGGTTAATAACAATATTATGATGTGTGTAATTTTATGACAATCGGGCACTCACGTCACATTTTATTATATTTTATAATTATTCCAAATTTTGACCCTTTGTGGGGGAGGTACTTGATGGAGTGGACTGATATTGTCCATCGCACCTAATCTAGCACTGATGCAAATATTAGGATTAGCAAAGTTGGAACAAAATCGGACTATACTTTCTCTTTCTGTGCAGTTAAATATTTTCTTTGAAAATGTTGACATTTTGTGTAGGAGGAGAAGGAGTGGACGGATTTGTCCCAAAGAAACCTAGGGTCTAACAGCGCTATTTCGATGATGAGGCACGTTTTGGCCGTATCAAATGATATATAACCTCTCTAGCCATATGGCTGAGGGTACACAATTAGGGAGAAGAGAAAAATTCCCCACGAAATTGTCTTTCATGATGGAGCTGAATATTGTAGGGTTAACCTACTTTGAGAGGATTTATTTGAAGTAAAAGTAATGGATATGACAATTTAAATCCAAATCCAGTGGGTTAACCCTCATATATATAAACGTACTATTAGTTGCCATTCATCAGATTTTGCTTGCAAAAAAAAAACATTATTCCGTTATAAATTTATTTAAAATAACCATATTTATTACAATCGTATAATTTCCTTTCTTTCCTAAAAAGATATAGTCCAATATTGTTTTTATTAAAACTCAATAAAATTATTTTCCATTGCAATTGTTCAGAGTTATCACAGATCTTATGTTTTGACAAAAAAAAAAAAAACAAAAACAAAACATTGCCCCTTTATTGTGCTCCTCTTTTTTTTTTTTTTTGCAAGGACCCAAGCTACACCTACACCCATGTTATTATAACAAAAAAACATACATACAGTTTCAATTACAACACATATCACCGCATTAATAAAGCAATTATGTTTATTATTATTAGCTGATTTAGTTTAATTACATGCATATACTTCTTTCAGCATAAAACAAAAACTGACGAAAAATATTCAACATTTTTTCAATACTGATCCGAGAAAAAATCACTCAAGTACTTGTTTGCTGCTAAATATAATCGATTTTTTCCATAAAAAAAGAAAAAATAAATAAAATACGACAAAGTTTGTACAAACAAGCTGAAATGTGTTTCACTAGATCTACCACCAATGGAAAAATAAAGTCAAGTCATGTTGATAGGAAAACAAATAAACAAACAGGACTAAATTTAAATATCCATACCCTTCACATTTGGGTAAAAAAAAAACATGTTTATACAAAATTACATGAATTCAAAAGTGTTCCACTTTAAACTACAAATACCACTAAGACCGTTTGGATAATGCAGTTAAACTTTTCGGAAAAAAAACATAAATCCGTGAGGCCGTCATAGGGGGGCCATACCAAAACGGGAACCTCTATAGACAATTTTATGCTTCAAGTATTGTCATCTACCAAATCTTCATAAATACCAAATTTGAAACAATTTCGTGGGCGAATGTGATTATCAAAATACCGAATATCGGTGGATATCGTTATATGTGCGCTATAGGAAAACGAGGACCTAAATATTAAATGTTCTTCCGCCGGAGCTAGAATCTATTATGAACTACAAATACTAATTTTAAAACAAATCCGTGGAAAAATGTGGAGAAAATCATCCAAATACCGAATATCGGGAGGAACTGTTATATGTGGCCAATACAAAAACGTGGACCTATACATACAATGTTTCGCCAGAACCTATTATGAACTACAAATACAAATTTTTAGACAAATCCGTGGAATGAATGTGGCAAAAATCATCCAAATACCGAATATGGAGAGGTACCCCTTATATGGGGACTATACAAAAACGTGGAGTTGTACATACAATGTTTCGTCACCGGAGCTAGAACCAATTGCGAACTATAAATACTAATTTTTAGACAAATCCATGGTAAAATATGGCGAAAATCATCAAAATACCAAATATTGGGAGGTACCGCTATAGGAGGGCTATACAAAAACGTAGACCTATACATACAATGTTTCACCACCGGGAATAAAACCAATTATGACCTACAAATACAAATTTGGCAAAAATCGTCAAAAATCCGAATATCGGGATGTACTTTTATATGGCGGCTATACAAAAACGTGGACCTATACATACAATGTTTCGCCACCGGAGCTAGAACGCATTACGACATACAAATACCAATTTTTAGACAAATCTGTGAAAGGAATGTGGCGAAAATCATCAAAATACCGAATATCGGTAGGTACCGTTATATGGCGGCTATACAAAAACGTGGACTTATACATACAATGTTTCGCTACCGGAGCAAGAGCTGATTATGACCTACAAATACCAATTTTTAGACAAATCCGTGGAAAAGTATGGCAAAAACCATCAAAAGTCCGAATATCGGAAGGTATTGATATATGGGGGCTATACCAAAACGTGGAGCTAAATATACAATCAGCTGAAAATGTGCACCTTCCTTTGGCCACCAGAACTCAAACGCCGGCCATGGTGATGTGTGGGCCGCCATAACAGCAGATGGTCACTCTCCGCTCGTATCAATCGACCATGGCATCAGAATAAATGTTAAATATTATCGCGAAAATATTCTGGAGGGTGTATTAAAGTCCAAAATACCGCAGAGCAATATTCGGCCTGCATGTGACGGTTTCATTGGCCGTTTGAAGGCCATAATTCGTGCCAAAGTTGACCAATTCGAACAAATCTAAATTTATCGTAAAATTGGATGCTATTTCCGACATTTTTTGCTTTCATTCAATAAAATTAAAAAAAAATAAAATTATAGCGTTTGACTTTGTTGCGGTTGTTTTATCTCACCCTACGGATCTACGAGGAATATTTAGGAATGTTACAAACGGAATGACAAAGTTAATATACCCTCCTTTTAAGGGCGGAGGGCATAATGATAATCCTTGAAAAGGCTGTTTGTTTCTTGGGCAGGCCTTCGACGTTTTCCACCACAAGAATTACTTGCAAGTATCGTATCGTTGATAATTTTATCAAAGGCTAAACAACTTAAACTCGGGGGGTTTAAGTCTGATAAGGTTAGAGTACCTAATTTCTTTCATCTGGAGCCTACGTCACTGACAACCCATTTTGATCTCAGCAACCTATGATCGGACCCACTGCAAGATTTATCCCTTACCTTTTTAGCCAGAATAGGGAGCTAGATCTACTGCGTCATGAATTCGGTCAGATTACCCTGATTGTCCTACACATGTAGACACATGCCATTCTCGAAATAGATCTTTAAAAATTTTCTCACATAATAGATCGGTAGTGGACTAAAAACTAAACGTTTCTCCAACTCCCTCCCTAACTTGGGATTCTTGAGTTGAAATAAATTATTTCCCACAGTTTACATTCTAAATATTTTTAGATTTTATTTTTATATTTCTTTTTTTTCTTTTACGGATAAACAACTAAAGGAAGGATAAAATGATAAACGTTTTCTTTTCAGTATTTAGTTTTCTCTTCCTCTTTTTTTACAGCATAACATTCTTGGTTCAAGAACTTAAAAATACCATTACTATTCATCGCCATTGTTCTCCTCCCCCTCCTTGGCCAGGTCCGAAAAGAAATCCGATGCATTGGAAAATTTCGATGATGGCAAATTGTGTCGCTTCTCCTTGTAGCTATTGTGTTTCTCATTGTATTTGATATCACCGAATTCTTCAAAATATTTCACATTCCAGAAGCGTACATCATTGTTGTGTGAAGACGAGGCGATCAGTTCACCCGAATTACTCACATCCAACGATTCAATGGGCATGCTATGTTGGCCCACAATACCCAAATTTCTGAAGGGTGCAATGTGTACAGCCCTGATAATACCCTCTTCACCGGCCACACAGGCAATGCGGTCTGTAATGGGTATCATTTCCGACATTGATGATTTCACTCCAGGAAATTTATCGCTGTGATAACCGAATTGTCCCCAATTAAAGGTGTATAGATTTCCCTTGGATGTGCCCACAACCAGTTTGGAGTCGCCACGATAGGTGCCCATGCAGGTTAGTTCCTCCTCATAGGGTTCTGATTGTACATACAATTTGCGGGCGCCAATGTTCAAGGTGGTCAGGTAGCCATCACCGCTGGTTACCAACAACAATTTACCAGCCTCATTGGTTAGCATTTGTGTGACATAGTCTTCGACCTCTTTCAGGGCAAATATTTCATTTTTTGTCCTAAGATCCCACAACTTGACGGTGCCACCATCATCACCTGTTGCAAACAAATTCTCGTCTATGACATGCAATTTATTTATGGGCTCCTCGTGGGCACTTTCATAGAACTTCTTTAGTTTTTCCGTTTCCATGTCGGTTATCATTATCGATTTATCTTTGGAGCATGTCAATACATTAAGGCCATCGGTTGAGAATTCAACATCACGACATGCTTTGGCATGTACCTCAATGGTGCGTAGATGTTTATTGCCCTCATTGGAGTACTCGTACAGGGCCACATCGCCTGTTATTGTGGCAATGGCAATAATATCCCGCAGTGGGTGAAAACAGATATCGGTAACAAAGTCTTCTAGCTTAATTTCGGGTGGTGAACTGCGTGGCTTTTTAATGGCCGCAATTATGGCCTTTACTGTTTCATCATCCTCCTCGTCTTCGTTTAATTCTAAAACAGCTTTACTGCTACCACCACCGCCACCACCTTCATCCTCATTACCTTTGGAGCCGCCTGGCGTCGCCGATGAGTTTGTCTTATTTTCTGCTTTACTACCACCAGCCGCCTCACCATCACTCATCGAATCGTCTGAATCTGTGGCCATCGGATCAAATTCTGAACTATCATCGCTATTTGTATCCTCATCTCCAATATCATATTCGGCATTTCCCTCCGCTGCCTCAACAACATCTTCATCATCCTCACTCCAATCTTCAACACGTGCATTGATCATTAACTCGACATCATCTTCCAGTACAGCGTCTGTGACTTCGTCAATCTCGGAACCATCTGATGGATCATCAGGGTTCTTAAAATTACTACGCCTGTTGGAAAGAAAAGAAATTAGCGATTAGAAATTGTTAAATATGAAATTTTTAAAAGATTTTTTTAACAATTTGACGCACATACGCATTTTCTATCGTAATGTTTTTGTTTTTTTTTTTTTTTTTCTATTTCAATTTGGATATTCACTGAGAGGAACTATTGAGAGATAAACAATGTGACAACTAGAGTAGAGTAAACACTGTCATTCTTTGAATAAAGTGCCCTGGAGACGTTCAAATTTTTTCGTCAAGCAGCTTATATGTGTGTCCATGTGAGTTTAATTGGCTTTCGTCGGCTCTGCTTGATGGAAAATCAAAATATTTTGATATTTTTATTTGCCCAAATCTATTTGAACGTCTCCATTACTGTTTGTCAAACAAAATGCCGTTTGTGTTGTAACCTTGAGGAGTAAACATGAATAGTAAGTGCGCGGACGAAAAAAAAAATCACAATAAAATTTATTGAAATGTACCAATGCCTTGATGCATTGTGGAATGTGGAATGTGGGGACAGATGCGTTCAGTAATAGGGATGAGAAGGATTTATAAGGAACAGTACCCCAGATGGTACTGTTGAAGATGTTAAAAAAAAATATATATTAAAAAACTAAATATCCTCAAAAAATTTCTGTAGTCATCAACACTACTCATTCGCAGCTCCTTTAAAAGGTTTTCATGCGTAAATCTTTTGCGCTGTTCATACCAATTTTTTTAATCAATATTTTCTTTTTCTTTTCCAATTTTTTTTAACACAACTGCTGTCACGAAAAGCCACTCATCTTCCAACGAGGAAAATAATTACAAAATGAATATTTGACAAACTTGTTTGTACGTTTGACAAACTTGTTTGTACATACGCACTTGCTTGATGAAAAAATTTGAACGACTCTACGGCACGATAAACAATGTGACAATTAAAGTAGAGTAAACACTGTCATTCTTTGAACAACAGTTTTGTGCAAATATCGGTTACTTGCCTAATATGCGTCATGGTTCCCAAAGTTCCATTTAGTGAACATTATAAACAGTTCATTCGCAAAGGGGCTTTGTGAAAATTTTTGTTTATTAATCAAATGATTAATTAATACAACAAATACACAAAATATTAATATTGTTTGTATTTGAACGTGATTAAACTGCCATTGATCCAGTTAAGCACTGAAGGGGCGTCGCTGAGGCAGCAATCGTTGCACTTTCTTGTGGTCGGTCTTCTTGGATAGAGAAATTGGAAAAAAATTGGGGATTTTTTTTTTGAGTTGACTGATCTCGAAAACAGCCATGGCACTGAAGGAGTCATTAGGTGAAAGTCTTGATGATGATCAAAAATTCATTCTCTACAAGCACGATGAGTTATTTAGCGAAAGTTTTCCCGTTTTCAAGGAGATTCGTCGCATGGGCAAATTATGTGATGTGACATTGAAGGCGAGTGATTATGATTTGCCTATATTATATAGTTATTTTGTAATATATTTTCTTTAAAGGTCGAAGATCAAACTTTTTCCGCCCATCGCATTGTTCTGGCCGCCACCATACCCTATTTCTATGCCATGTTCACCAATAACATGGCCGAGAGTCGCATCAAAGAAATTACCATGAAAGAAATCGAACCATCGGCATTGGAGAGTTTGATCAACTTTGCATACAGTGGCCAAGTACGCATTGATAATCAAAATGTCCAAAGTCTAATGATGGGTGCGTCGTTCCTACAATTGCTAAAGGTGCGTAAGGCTTGTGCGGAGTTTTTGATATCACGCTTTCATCCGCACAATGTCCTGGGCATTAGGCATTTTGCCGATTCGATGAGCTGTCAGCATTTAATAAAAGCTGCCGATAAATATATCGATCAGAACTTCGCTAAAGTCTCACAATCCGAAGAGTTTTTGAATTTGGAATTCGATGAGTTAATTGAATTGATCAAAAGTGATTATTTGAACATAAAATCGGAGGAGGTGGTGTTTGAGGCTTGCTTGAAGTGGGTGAAATTTTCGGAGGCCAAACGTGTGGAATTGTTTCCGCAGGTATTGTCTCAGGTTCGTCTGCCGCTGCTGTCACCCCAGTTTCTGGCCGATCGTGTTGCTCGTGAGGAGCTAATACGTTCATCACATCAGTGTCGTGACCTATTGGATGAAGCCAAAGATTTTCATTTGATGCCCGAACGTAGGGGACTCTTGCAGAGTTTTAGGTGGGTAAAAATACAAAATTTGAATATAACAAGAAATTGTATTCCAATGTCTTCTTTAGAACCCGTCATCGTGGTGAATTTATATCTGGTCAAATATATGCCGTTGGCGGCCTAACCAGCAATGGCGAATCTGTGAGTACTGTGGAAATATATGATCCAATTACCCACAAATGGCGCATGGGTGAACAAATGTCCATGATGAGGTAAAGTTGTGGCAGAGGGGGGTCGGGGAATATAAATGATTTCAATGCCCTAACCTTTTACATAGATCTCGTGTTGGTGTGGCCGTAATGGATGGGAAACTTTATGCCTTTGGTGGCTTTAATGGATCTGAACGTTTGTCAACCGTGGAGGTCTATGATCCCCAGGAAAACAAATGGTCTCAAGGCAGTGCCATGAATTGTAAAAGAAGGTAGGAAGGTTTTCTAATTTTTATTTCCAAACGGAAAATTCTAGAAAAACCTTACGATTCTTTTAGTGCTGTGGGTGTTGCTGCCCTAAACGATTGCATTTACGTTTGTGGAGGCTATGATGGGGTTACATCCCTTAATACCGTGGAATGTTATTGCCCCAAAACAGATGTATGGAAGACGGTAAGTTAAAATAGAAAATGCCCTATGGTATCCATATCGTAAACCTCATTTTTTTTTTTATAGGTAGCCCCCATGATGAAATATCGCTCAGCAGGTGGTGTAGCCGCCCTAGATAAATACGTTTATGCCCTGGGTGGTCATGATGGCCTTTCGATATTCGACTCGGTGGAACGTTATGATCCAGTCAATGATGTTTGGCAAAAAATGAAACCAATGCTTAATCGTCGCTGTCGTTTGGGTGTGGCGGCCTTGGATGGCAAACTATATGCCTGTGGTGGTTACGATGGTAATTCATTTTTGCGTTCTGTGGAAGTGTATGACCCCATCAAGGACTCATGGTCCCTGGTAACATCCATGAACTGTAAACGCAGCCGTGTGGCATTGGCCGCAAATATGGGTAAACTATGGGCAATTGGGGGTTATGATGGCGAAACTAATCTATCAACCGTTGAAGTATATGATCCTGAGGCAGATACATGGTCATTTGTACCTTCCATGTGTGCCCATAGCGGTGGTGTGGGGGCGGGCGTTATACGCAATTAAGCCAATCGCAATATTAGACTGTCATTGATTTTAAATTGTTAGGATGACCCCACATTTCTATCATTCCAAATTGTCCAAAATTTTTAACAGACAGACAACTTTTCGATCTGCTCTTTACGATATATGATCTAAGGAATTTAAAGCCAAAAATTATTGTATTTACTCTAGCAGCTATCTCTTTTAATATTAACTACTATATTTGTTAAGGATTAAGTTCTCGAAAAGAACTCATCACCTCATTAATGCAATTTATCCAAGTGGAATTTAAATATACCAATAATAATAAAAATATATTTTATTGTTGATTTTTTTCGGAACGAATTTTATTCCTTCCAACTAAATATTATTTAACAAATTAATAAATGCACTTTAACTTTGTTCCAGAAATTGTAAAAAGAATTTAAATCAGAATTCTATTCTCCCTTATAGACTGGTTTACGTTTCTCGGCAAATGCCTTAAGGCCCTCCATGCGATCTTTGGTTGGAATAACTTGAGCGTAGCATACCTCTTCAATGGAGTAGCCAGTACTTAAATCCACCTGCATACCTTTGTCAATGGCCAATTTAGCCATGCGCACACCAACTGGACCATTTGGCAAGATTTCTTCAGCCAACGTCAAGGCCTTACGGTATGCAGCATCCTTGGTTTCATTTTGTGGCACAACATGATTAACAATTCCCATTTCTTTGGCTTCCTCGCCATTAAAAACTCGTGCCGTAAATATCAACTCTTTAGCCAGGGATGGCGACAAGATACGTGGCAAACGTTGAGTACCTCCAGCACCTGGGATAATGGCCAATTTGGTTTCAACCAAACCCATTTTGGTATTATTTGCCGCCGTACGGATATCACAAGCCAAAGCCATTTCCAAGCCTCCACCCAAGGCTGCACCATCCAAAGCTGCAATAACCGGCATTGGCAATTGTTCAATGGCTATCAAGAGCTGTCTGAGACCAGTCACAAATTCTTTAACCTCCTCTTCCGACATTCCTTTGCGTTCCTTCAAATCGGCGCCGGCACAAAAGATACCAGGTGTCAGACTTCTCAAGACCACAACTCGTGAACCATTATCACGTTTAATTTCATTGAGGATATTGGAGAAGGTTTGCACCAATCCACGGCTGAAAGCATTTTTGGCCTCGGGGCGATTCAAGCCCAACACTGTAATACCCTTCTGTTCACCACTTAATCTTTCCACCAGAACTTCTTGTCCAGTAGCAGCAACCGAATAGTTTGCTTTGCATAATCGTGCAACTTGTCCAAATGCTGGACGGGAAGAGCTACGAACCAAATTGGTTATTAGAAAAGTCATCTTAATGCTGGAACTGATAAGGAAGGATGTCGTCGACGTCTCTGGGCCGGTTATAAAACAGGTTGATGTTCGATTACTTTAAGAATGGCGAATCAGCTGTTAGGATTGCCAATGATGTATAAAAGCAAGATGTAGAGTACACATCATGATATTCTTCCGCCACGATACATATTATCATTCATTCGTATTAGATGTCAAACAGATAGCCAAATTATTAAATTTTGCTTGATAAACAAGTGCTATGTTGCAGAAAATGCGAGAAGGTAAAAAATAAAATACAAATTAACGAAGAATATAAAAAATAAATTATTAGCCTCATTTATCATGCAAGGCTGTTGCGTGGTGGGCACTATTTAATTTTTAATTGATGTTTTTTTAGCTAACATCCGCGACGTGCAAACCGCAGCAACCCGTGTTTAAAAAATGAAGCGGAAATGTTCTGTCCCAATGGTAATTAGAATTGCCACCACTGCCAGTGTTGTATTTGGATCGATTATTTGGTAGATAAATTAATCGAAAATACAACCTGCGATATTGTAAGGGCTCGTTAGGTCGGTATCATAAAGAAGGTAAATGTCAGGAAAAATTAAGGAAAAGCCGAAAAGCGGAAAAATGCCGCGTCATTCCCGTAGGTATAAAAGGGGGAAAAAGGAAAACGCGCCCTTATTATTCAAGTGGTGCGACAGTAAAATATTGGTCATAAAAGTAAAAAAAAATTAAAACCTGCCAAATTTCAAAATAAAAATTACTTTTTTTAAGGCAATAAAAGCCTCGATATTTATTTTATTATTTATGGTGAAGGCGTTAGTAATTGATTTGTTTCGCCAAAATAATTTAAATTTCTCGAGGGTATCAACTGGCCTCCTCGGCGAACAAAAGCGGAGAGGTCAGCCCATCTTTGACGGCCACAGCAACCACCACAACGCAAAATTGAGGCCCCAGCAACCGCCTCCATAACACCAATTCCCTTGATCCATGATATCCGGGTTCTGCTTTATCCTGGTGGACGAGGTCGCGGAAGAGTGATCCTGGAAAAAAACAAAGCAGGTTGTACTAAAGAATGCAAAAAGCCAGGTAACAAAGTTATTTATTAAACTTACCGCTTGTTTGATACAACCACTGGCATAAAAATAAAAACCAGAACCAGGAGGGAGACCCTGCAACAGAAAAAAGGAGAAATTCCATTAAATAAAATCTTAAGAAAAAGCAAAAGGCAGAAAAATTCATATAAATTAAGAGAAAGAACTAATATAATATTCAAATTTTTAATTAAGATAATATATTTAGGTTAAGTTGTGTTGTCTAAGTTTATTATTTGTGTTTTTTTTTGTGTCCAGCATAAATGTTCTTGTTTTTGTGAGGGACATTAACTATTCTAAATTTTATAAGTAAATTGGAGTGTAGGGTTACCCCAAATTACTTTGAGTGTTATAATCAAGATTTTTTTTGAGGTTCCGTTGAATATTGTGGACCAGTTTGCGGGTCCCTCACCACCTAAGAGAGCTCGTTTAGGCAGGTACTAATTGCATAACTTAGAAAGTCCTAAATTTGATGACATTTAGTTGACTGAAGTAATGAAGGGTGGTCTGATATATATGAACTCCTCAAACAATGACTAAGAGATCCTGATAGTTAATGTTTCAAATTTCAGCTTGTTTGTTCTATTTTAAGGAAATCTTATATATTAATAAATTGTTCGTAATATGATTGTTTGTGTAATCATGATTGTCTAGTTCATTCATGAGAGAGTGAATTTGGTGTACATTGTACTGAGGGGAGTGGGTGTGGAATACGGGGCCCTGATAAAATTGACAGTTATGTAGGATCTCAGGGTCAAGGTTGGGCGGGCTAGTGTGGGAGTGGCAATATCAAACTCCTTTGTTCCAGGTGTACGTAGTGTTTGTGTTATGTAGAATTTGTATTTATCCATTAATTGTTTAATTGTTCGTCCCCAAGGCTATTGGTGTATGGGATGGAACCAACCCCTGAACATGGCTCCTGAGCTAGCGGCCACAACACCATAGTGCCGAAGCAGGTGGCACGTAACAATATGGCGCCCAAGCGAAAGCTATAATGTCTTAAATTCAGTGCAATAACAGCTTAGCACAGTGCAATAAACTATAGGGTTCAAATAGGCATAAGCGAAAATCACATTTTCTTACGACGATTATCTCATGTTGCAGACGCAGCTTTAATTCTTTAAAATTTGTGATAAACGTGCAATAGTAGATGAGGTTTGTAGAAAATTAGGATTTTCGTTCCAACTACAAGGGTCAGGTGCAATAATCTTGTTAGTTCAATGTAACAATGAATGTATTGTGTTTTATGACCTGTTTTTTTTGTGTTTCTGTATGTTTTATTTTAAAGTAGAAAAAATAGACGTTGGGTATAACATAAGGGAAACGTGCAAAGCTTGAGGTGAAGCATCTCAATGTGCATTGTACGGAAGTACTTGTTCACGAGATCTTTTTCGTTATTTTCTTTCGAAAGCTGCCGTGGTTTTACCCTCAAATTTATGTTTTTATGTAATTTTTGTATTTATTGTTTCGAAGTCGTCAAATCGAGATGACATAAGAGAGGAAAAGTACAATAGCGTTCGTGAAGAAGTTTTCGCAAACTGTATTGTACGAAAGAAAATTTAACCTCCTTCACGAGATCCGTATTCTCTTATGATGGGAAAACTGCCGTGGTGGTCGTCTCTAAATGTTTGTCTTTGAAACAAAATAAATAAGTGAATATGTAAAGTCCAGTCTAGCAGTACACCAGAACAACCGTAAAAGGACACTTATAATGCGTGATAGGATTTCTTATAACATAATGAAATAAGTCCACACACTCAACCTCAAAAGCAATTGAAAAAAAAAAAAAAAACACCAAACGAACTCTCATCGTCAATGTTTAAATCACTATTAACTATTGATATTGTCTTGTGTTTGAATGTTTTTGTTTATGGTTTTTGTCCTTAACTTATATTGATTATTATTTTAGTTTTATTTACTATTTTCTTATTTTTATTTGATTTAATTATTTATTTTTTTTTTACTTGTTCTGCTTATTAGTGCGTTTTGATTATATGTTTAGTACACTTATAGGTTTAATTATATTTTATTTTATTAATTACTATTGTTCATTTTTTTTGGTATTTATATATTTTGTTTTTTAAAGAACTTTTCTAAATTAGTTATTTTTAAATCATTAAGTCATACACCCCTGCTTTTATTATCTGAAATTGTGGCAATCTAAATTTCGGCACAACAAAAAAGTAAACCCACAGCTATTAATAGACAATTGATTTTTGTTAATAAAATTAATTGGGTAAACGAGTTGAAGTCTGATGAGTGATTATACGGCGGGAAAAAGAAGAAGTAAACGCAATAGAACACTAGCTTTCGACACGAGCAGGATTTCTATACAATCACCCAAACCTAATAACAAAAAGAAAAAAGTAGTCTCAAACATGGAGCAATCCAATGGTATTAGGGATACAACAATAAGGGATTTGTCCGGATCCATTAACAACACTCAACCGAGTACCAGTAAGAGTGCTAGGGTACCATCGAATTTACCTCCAACGCCTACTCCAAGTAATCAGCAAGGCGATGTAAACAATGTAATCAGGAGTATGGTACGCGAAAGTATGAATGACGCCCGAGGGTATTTGAGATCATGGGTGGAAGAAAGTGTTGCCAAAGAAATGGATAAAATTCACTCGGTGATAAACCGATTGAGCGATAATGTCAGCAGGTTATCGATAAATGTCCAAAATCAGCCAACAATACCAAATACTTTACCGAACCCCCCGGGAAACCCTACAGATGAGTTCCCTACACAACATAGAGATAATGTTAATAATGGTAATCGCAGAAGCACTGTGATTCCATCCGTGATTAGTACTGGCATCCATGGAATAAAAGTTGAACGTTTTGGATTAAATTTTTCAGGGAAACCAAACAGTCTGTCGGTGGAAGATTTTATCTACCGGCTGGAATACTTTCAACAACATTACAAACTAGCTTGGGAAGACATTTTAAATGAATTCCATATTTTGGTGTCTGGTCCAGCCTATGAATGGTTCTGGCTCCAACAGAGGTCAAACAACATTAACGATTGGGATTCCTTAAAGCATGGGTTAAATGAAAGATTCAAGACAAGGCGAACAACATTTGAATCGATGCGGGATCTGTTAGAAAGGAAACAGGGGGGCAACCGAGTCCATTGATGCTTTCTTTCATGAAATAAATCTAATGAGATCGAAACTGGAAAGGCCAGTCTCAGAATACGAGATTATTTCTTTGGTTAAGAAAAATTTGAGAAAGAATCTATCGAGTATTGTGTACTCGATGCCCGTGTCGTCATTAGAGCAGCTAAGAGTGGAGTGTTTGGAAATTGAGAGGACATTTTTTCGACGCGACCCATTATCTCAAGCTCCTCCACCAACCATAAACAGACCCATACGTGTACACGCCATGCAAGAAGAAGAAATAGAATATCCGAATTTGGTAGAACCGGAAGAGTTAGTAGATGTTTCGGCCCTAAACCAAATTGTTTGTTGGAATTGCCAAATAGCGGGTCATGGATTTAGGGATTGTCCGTCGTCCCAAAGAGGACTATTTTGCTTTAAGTGTGGAAGGCAAAATACCATAACACCCAAATGTGGAAATTGCAAAGCGGGAAACGTGAGAAAGAACGTGGTTCTAGCGGGGAACCATCGTTCTTCCGAACAACCCGCTGCGACGAACCCACTGTAGAATTAGTTGATACCATCGTCAATAACTATTCCCAAATTCGGCATTATCTTCCAATTGAGTTCAGGCAGAGACATTATAAAAACAAAAGAGCAGAAATTTTTCAGGAAGATGAATCTCGCAATAATTCCGAATCAATATCGATAGGGGTAAATAAAAATATGAAAAGTAGAGTGAGGATAATGAAATTGAGGCAACGACATAAAGAAAATAAAGAATTAAAAAAATTGATATCCGAAGCCGTCATCCGGTGCAAATATAGAACGGATCCTAGACCATACGCTAGCATTAAAATCGAAGGGAAAGAGATAAAGGGTCTATTAGATTCTGGGGCT